ACGTAAACGTCTCTTGTGTTCAGTACTTTTTCATTCCGAGGATTCGTTAGATCGTGAGCATTTTTCTCAGTTCTCAGCTCCAGAAAGCAGGCTTTCAGTGGTGGGATTGTAACACTGGACACTTTTTGCTCCTGTGAAGTCATAGCCAGGGACCGCCGTTACCAGGGGCTCCTTACCCTCTCTGGTCACTTCTGTGGGAAAAATTCCAACAAAAGCAGTTGCTAGGATACAGGGTGGACGCTGCAGAGAGCACTGTGGTGCGTGATGCTAGATGCCTTCCAGATAATCAGCCTGTTTACCCTTTTGTACAGGTTTGCAACTACTTCTCTTTCCTGCCCCTTTAGCAAATTTTTTAAAATTTCGTTTTGCAAACCAAAATATGATTTGATTTTTATTAGCAGAATCAAACATTTCCTGAGTCTTTAAAAACCATTTATATTTCTTATTTTGTCAGTTGCCTGGGCACTTGACCGATTTCTGGTTGGAATATTAGTTTATATTGATGAGAAAATATATTTCAGAAAAAAATAAGTTAATACTTGTTAACTACTCAGAGTGTTAAGTAGGGATAAATTTTAGGGACTTAAGTCTTTATAAACTTGTTTCTGGTCTTTTTAATGCATAGTCATTTAAATAATAAATAAAATTAATAACAAACAGTTAAACTGTTATAAAATCTACCAGTCTTTTCTTTAGGTATTCCCTCCCACCACTTAGTTTTATCCATGCTGATCGCATCTCCACAGCCAAGGAATCTACTTACTTCCAATATTTTTTGCAATTCTTGTTTTGCATTTTATTTTCATTATTATTGAAAATTGTTTCCCTTATCCCTCATTTATTTTCCATCTTCTTTCAAAATTTCATTAGTTTGATGGATATCTCTCTACTCTAGTAAGTTGGCCGATTTGCTATTCCTTTAAAATAATATTAGTTGTATTTCTTGCAGTCTATCCTTAAAATGTACAGGTACAAAAAAATAATCTGCCAGACTTTCTGTAGCCACTACCTTTGTGTGTTTTTTCTTCCCCTTTTTTAACAGAGCATGTGGTGATCAGCACAAACTGTGAGAAACACGGACATGTCCGCGAGAGCCTGTGTCTCTCTGTGTAATCTCAGCTCAAAGGCTCCTGGGGTATCAGCATAGAGCGAGCGTTCCTGATGGGAAAGGAAGGCCAGAGGCGAGCCTAGGATTGTGAGATGGGCCTGTGACTCGAACACTTTATGATCTTGTTAAACCTGCTGATGAAGTGTTAGCATGCTTTGCTGAAGGACTGTTTCAGTTGTTCTCTAGGGAACGGCCTTGAGGGGAGCAGGGGTTAAGTAAGGAGAGGCATGTATTAGTTCAGGAGAGCAGGCATGATCTTGCCTTGGAGCTCCACCCCAGAGCAATTTAATCAGGGAATGGGTTTCAATTTCCACATAACAGAAGCCACCCTGTGTATTTCAGAGATAAGGCTTGAGCACAGGGAAATGGCACTCACCACGTTGCTGGGGCAGCTGCAAGCTGGGCTCTGCATAGATTGCCAGCACAGTGCCCTGGAACCAGCCTGCCCGTGTCTCGGCTGGCTTTCTGGGGCTTAGGAAGTCACTGTCCCGGCCACTGGCTCCAAGACCATATTTTCTTAGCCACTGCCCTCACTGTTGGCTCCCAACCCAACGCAACGTCTGCCAGATCAGAGAAGAGAGAGAGATGGCCTGTTTACCCTCTCAACACATTTCCTAATGAAGTCAGCCCAGAGACAAGAACTAGGTCCAACACTGAGAGCTGGTTTGAAGTGTGTACCTGATTAGCACACCCCAAATCACATTGAAAACCTGTCTGGTCAGAGTGTCTGGAAGTGTTATTTGTACCTTTCCGGCCCACACTGTGGAAGCACACACCACGAGGCTGGCACCTCAGGTCATGAGCTTGTCACACCCATACCACGCGGGTTGTCCTGGCATCCTGGTGCAGGGGATGCTGTGGTCAGGATGTATTGGGACATACCTGGTGGAGTCGGTGATGGGCTTGATGAGGAGCAGAGAGAGGGTAAGGAAAGAGAGGTGACCAGGGTAATGTTGGAGACAGGACCCATTGCATTAAGTCTTGGCCCTGCACTTTTTAGACCATCACACCTGTCAGCCTGTTTCAAATTTTAAAAATTCACGGAGCCTTTGCCTCCCAAGTGACCAATTGCCCTATCGTCCCTGTAGCAATGTGAACCATGAGGACCGGGTCATCTCAAAATTTCCTCATACTTTTGACATTCTTTAGGGGAGTTCTTTAAGAGATAACATTCCGTTGAGACCTATTTTATTTTCCTGGTACATTTTTGTCAATACCAAAAGTGGAAGTCAAACAAGGGAGCCAGCTCAGTAGATTCCCCCAGCCCCACCTCACCCAGCCAAATGGAATGCACCTCTGGGTGGCCGCTGCCTTCAGAAGGGTGTTGTTTTAGGTGGATCCCACGCACAAGTAACCCTTATTTTGGTGAGCCTTCTGGGGCTTCCCACCCACATTGTTGATTCAGATATGCGGTCCATTCTCACATCCAATTGAGGACGGTTTGAGACACCTGGTGGCTGCCTTGCCCTGAGTTCCCTGGCCCACTCCACCCCAGGATGGGCAGGTGGATGCCCACAGGCTGAGATCAGAGGTGCCAGCCCATACTTCTACCCAGGCTTCCCTTCCTCCTGGCTTCTGGAGTGCTTCAGTCTCTCTACGGTTTAAATTTTGCACTTTTGCACTGTTAACTGATGGGAGTCTCGTGGAGGTGACCACTGAACAACTTACTAGGGTACAACTAAACTGGGTCTTGGTGGCCCAAGGCCAAGTGTAATCGTGGTTCAGGTGGCTAAGCTTATAGGAGTATTGGCCATTTCCTGCACTCCTCTGAATGCTCTTATTAAAGTCTTGTGTATCCTGGCCATCTAATAAAAGTGTAATGTGCTCCATCCCATCATTTAACCTCAATAAGCTGACTCATCAGTGGGAAGCCCAGGTGGATTCGGGAAGGTGTGAAAGCTCCGTGAATGCCAGAGAAGGCAGTCACTCCACGGCAGCAACGTGGGCTCAGGGCTGCTCCTCGCTTGCCAAGCACACGTCAGGCTAAGGTCCACACAGGTGCCATGTGGCTGGGAGATGAAAGCTTACAGGTGTGTGAGTGTCCCTCTCCCAGATCTGTCAGCCGAGCCAAGAAACAATGAATGCGCACACACTGTTCCCAAAGATGCTGTAGTGAACATTTAAAGGTGAATCTGCATTCCTGAAACTAGCAATAGGTTGCATGCCAGAGGGTATTTATTATTAAAAATCCATACCTGTGATCTTTGGTGTTCCAGGGTTGCCTCCGGGAGTACACGTAAGTCATCTTTGGGTGTTCAGTCCTGCGCTTGCAGCTTGCAGTAGTCCTAAATGTTTCATGTGGGGTTTGAGCTTTCCGCTGCTCTTGGAAGTTGATTGTCTCAGCCCCTCCCAGGATGGTGAAGTTCCTGGATTTTATCTTCACGATGGCAGGGGAAGGGAGCCAGGATCGCTTGGAGGTCCCTGGAAGCAAGGAAAGGCAGCAGCGCCATCAGGAGCACCCGGCTGGCTTGTTAAGCCACACAGCTCTGACATGTCCAGGGATTCCAGTGATGTGAACCTAGGCTGGGGCCCAAGAATTTGCATTTCTTGGTAGTTCCCTGGTGGTGCTGATGCTGTTGCCCCTGTGGTTCCAGAGTACATGACGAGCCCACTGGAGTGGTCACGGAAGGGAGATAGCCCTGCAGAGAACCCACATCTGAACTCTCCAAAAGATTCTGCACGACCCGCAGTGCCCTCAGCCCCAGACATGTGAACAAACCCAAGCCATCCTGGCCCCTTGTGCTTGCATCCCGTGGTCCCTTTCTTCCTGAGCCTGGGAGTGCAGATCCCTCTGGAACCAGATAGGGTGGAGGGGTCTCTGGAAACTCGAGCCACCTTGGGGCAGCAGCTGGCAAGTGTCGCCAGGAGTCCAGGGCAGGAGTGGGAACAGCATGAAGCTGCACCCAGATCCACTGGTGCAGAACCCCACAGCCAGGGAGCCGGGGAGCCCAGGAGCCCTGTTGGGCTTCTCGGAAATCCAGAAACGGGTGGGACTGAGCTTACAGGGTCTCCTGCATTCCAGTCTGGGCCTCAAAGTAGACAGAGCACCAGACACATGTAGGAAGACAGGGCTAGGGCAGGTCCCAGCCCTTCCTGTTGGCCTCCTGACCCAGAGGAGAGCTGTGTGTGGGCCTGGGCACCTGGTCCACACCTGGGCACATGTCCCCAGAGACAGCACAGGCTTCTCTCTTGCCTCTGCAAATGCAGAAGAAAGAAAGTAAGACTTGTTTTGATTTTCCTTATTAAATAAAACAGCTTAACGGTACAAAATAGAATGCATGTTGTATCTACTCATTGACTGGCTTTCTCTCCAAGTAGCCCGGTTCAATTTATATTGCAGAATCCAAGGGGGATTCAGAAGGAAAAACAAGAATGTTCGAGTTCCTATATCAACGTTCACTATTAACTCCTGCCTTTGTTTTAAAGATTGTAATTTGGGGAATGTTGTGGAATGAGAATACCAGAACCCCTTCTGTTTCCCCCGTCATTACAATGCCCAGTGCAGAAAGTGGGCAGGGCCGCCCCACCCCCTGGGGGATGTAGCAGCTGTGCTGGTCATCGGGGGTCACAGATGCCCCATCTCCTGGCCGCCCCCCCTCCCACCCTTCCCTGTGGTAATCAGGACAGAGGCAGTACATATCCCCAGATTTCACACACCATTCCTCCAAGCCTTAGACAGTCCATTCTAGACCAAAACACTGCATTTCGATTTGTGAGCAGATGGGACTTCTCAGTGGATTTTCGAAAGCATTGACAAGACCCCTGGTGGTCCGTGTGACGTGGCCCTGAGGATGCTGCCAGGGTGCTTGCAGGGTTATAGCATTGCCCTTGTGATTGCCTACGACTAGCTCTGTGTACGTCTCTGATTTATTCTCTATTTGCCCCTCTCTAGTGGGATCTTGTGTGTGACAATGCCTGGAAGGTGCATATCGCTAAGTTCTCCTTGCTGGTTGGATTAATCTTTGGCTACCTAATAACTGGATGCATTGCTGACTGGTAAGTACCAACACGCCTGCCGCACAACCTTTGGAAGCCACACCGTGCTTTTGCTGGTCACGATGTGGCCCATGCTAGCGGACTACTACTGTGTCTTTTCTCTGCCCTGCTGTTGATGCCAGAGCTGAAAGCTGATGCTGCTATGTGGAGAATGCAGAGCCAACCGAACTGGCCAATACACGTAACAGACCACTTGAGAATGGAAATGTAAATACGTGCAATTCTCTAGCTGCCAGAATCTAGCAAAACCAGCCTTTAGCCTAATCCATTACTGGATGTTTAGGAAGACCTTGAGGACCTAAGCGAGTTCTACTGGCCACCGGGGAATGGGTGCATGGATCACCAGATGCATTACACAGCAAGGGTTGGGGTGCACAGGTGCAGCGGTGTTCATCTATAGTCCCAGCAGGAGTCTGAGGCAGAGGATTACTTGAGCCCAGAAGTTCTGAGGTCAGCCCTGTCTCAAAAACAGAGGTAAAAATAGGAGAGGAGCTGGAGACCTTTCACCTGCAGGAACAGAAGGGGAGGGCAGTGTTGATTGGCATCTCAGAGTGTCACACACATTTGGGAGAGTCTCTGCCTTGGAGGGAGACGCCTCTCTGAGGGGTGTGGGGAGGAAGACTTTGGAGGATGTCAGCATTTGGGTAATTCCCAGGCACTGCAGACGATGAGCGTGCATCCTCGGGTGGATGAGGGGGTGTGGGCGCCTAGGACGAAGTGTGGATGGAGATCGGAGGTATTAATGACAGTGCTGATGATGGCAGCAGCGGCGTCTCGCACGTCCTGATTCCTGTGTGCCAGCCATGGTGAGAGACAGCCCCACACACTCAGACGCCCCGTCCTCGCCTACCCGATTAGGTAGGTGCTGTCACTACCTCTGCTTCCTCATTGAGAACCTAAAGCTCAGAGGCTTCAGTCAGTCCCCAAGCTCATTTGGCTTTAAGCTGGGCTTGACACCAGGGCACGTGGCCCCAGAGCGCGTGCCTCACGCCCTCGCTCTGGCTGCAGGCTCTCTGCAGTCACGAGGGCGCTGGGGCACTGGGCCCAGCGGGGAGACAGCTGCACAGTGTAGTGGCCGCCCAGGGACAGAGGGGTGGCATTGTGCTTTCCCCATCCGCTGTCTTCTGAGGAATCCTTTCTGTCACTTTCTGTGCTGTGAATCAGCACATCTGGGGCCTGAGGACCCCAGGGCTGAGGTGGTGGGGAGCGAACTGCGTGTCTCTGTGATGCCCCCTGTACTTGGGCCAAGGCCAGGGCTGGGTGTGTTGGGGCGGGGCAGGGGAGAGCAGCAAAGGGTTCCCAGGCCACTTTAAAGTGGTGGAAATTTCCTTCCTGAAGCTCGTGTCGATTTGGGAGTTCTTTGCACTGCGTATAATGTGATTTCCTGCATACCCGGAATTGGCTAAGTCACTTGTAAATGCTTCCTAGGGACACAGGCCCACTGGACAGTCACAGAACAGCCGTCAGTGACCTCCGGAGGCCCATATCAGGGTCCCTTTGGCTTTTTGTTTTTGTTTTTTGAGGTTAGAAGGTAGAATTCTATTTAACCAAAGGTTTGAATTCATAGGTTTTCAGCATAAGCTTTACTGATCTGAAAGATGCTCTTTCCCAGAAACCCGCATTAAAATAAATTAAGTATATATACTACTATGATCTCTGTCACCGTCTTCCTGAAAAATGCAGATTTGATGGAGCTTTTAGCGTCCTTATTCAGTAAGCGATTTAATAGAAAAGTCAGTATGGGCTTTATTAGTGAACCAGTCTGTGAAGGTATAGGCTCCTTCAGGGTTGCTCCGTGATTTCTTATTCTTGCATGCACACATTGATTGGCTGACTGATCACACCTCAGACCTGGGACAAAGGACTGGAGAGTTCGGGTCCTGCTCTGTGAGTCCCTGGGAGTCTCACGCTGCAAACCCACTGAGCCGCTGTCATTTTTCCCAGGGTCCACGGGGAATGGGCCAGCGGGTGGGTCCGGGCAGTCAGGGCAGCTGCTTTGGTGGGTTTTGAGACATTTTAAGTGGCCCTCTTTCAGTTTGGAAGTTTGGTGTTTTCCAACTCCATTTGCCTTTTTTTTTCATTTTTTGTTTTTGGGGTTTTATTTTTTTAATTGACATTTTACTCCTTGCTTAAAAGGAGGGGAACTCCAGGACTCATAGCTGGGAGCTGGTTGCTTGGGTGCAATGGGAAGGCGGACCAAAGTCATAGGATAAGCTTTCTGAGGCTTCAGTCATCATGTTTAAACATTTAAGTAGTGCACTGTTTTCTTTTGAAAGCTTTGTTTCCCACTCGGGCTTTGTCTGGGGAGACCCATCAGGCGGCGTTGCATAGCCAGATAGGCAGGTGGTGGAAGAGACGCCAATCACGTGCTCCTGTGCCCTGCCTCAGTTGCTCCTCGAAAGATGTCCTGCTTTTGTAATCCCACTGATGGGTCACATCAGAGGGCCCCTGGTCTTCAGCTCCTGGTGCCCAGTGGGGGGCACAAGCTGCAGACCCTTAGGGAAGGTGAGAGGGAGCTCTTCGGGGAAAGGATGCCCCAACAAGGGTCCCTCCAGCAGTGCCCCTCTGTGGCCCCATGACAGACCCTGCTTCCCGAGCTCCTTGCTGCTGAGAGCTGCAAGGCTGAACATTGTCCCTCGAGGGTTTTCTTCCGGTTTGACCACTCCGTGTACATAATCCCCTTATTCAAATCTCTCCAGTGACTTTGAGTGGTGAGACCCTACGTCCGGTCCTGATGGCTGCTGTCACAGATTACTGCAGGCTCAGTGGCTTCAGCAACACAAATTAACCACTTTACAGTTCTGTGGGTCCCAGCCCAACAGGGGTCTCCCTGGGCCGAAGCCAGGGAGTCAGCAGGCCACACTCCTTCCCGTGAGCTCTGGGACGGTCCTTTCCTTGCTTCCCAGCTGCTGGACCGGCCTATGTTCTGGGCTCTTGGTCCCTGCCTCCTCCTGGTGGCCCTCATACCACCCGCTCTGGGCTTCCCTCAGCCAAGGGGCCCCCCTTGTCCCACCTGCAAAACACTTCGTCTCCAGGTCCCTACCTTTAATCCCATCTGCAGAGTCTGCTTTGAGGGTTAGGACATGGATGTCTTTGGGGCCTGTTATTCTGCCTGCCACAGATCCTGAGTAGCCACCGCCTCGCTTTGCAGACGAGGAGTGAGGTTTTGTCTTCTCGGAGGGGATATCGCTCCTGAGAGCCACCTCGTACAAAACCTCCAAGGCTGTAACTTGTCGTGAATGCCCACTGGGTCACCCACGTGTGCCTGCACTCCACAACAGCCCCACTGGGGAGACATTACTGGCCTTAGGAAAAGGAACACAAAGCTCCCTAGGACAAGCTTGATCTTCCCCAACCCCACATCTTTCAGAAGTCATTTGAGCTTGGATTTAAAACCAGGGCACTCCAACTTCGAAGACCACATGTCAGTCCCCGATAATAAGGTTTACCTAGTGATATCAGCAATTCTGGGAGGAGGAACTTAGAATGGCTTGTATAAGATTAAAAAACATCGAGCATATTTTCTAAACAGGGAAAACCATGTGTGGTGGGCATGAGGGATGTAGAAATGCAGGTAGGAAGAGAGCTCAAACAGTTAGGTACCATGGGGTGGGTGCTGTGTTGGCACCCATCATCTCCTTTCCTGAGTGGCCTCAGTAGCCTGCAAAGCAGGATACTTATCCCCATTTTACAGAGGAGGTAGGTAAAGGTCAATAAAAGTGGATATCAGAGTTTATTTTTTTCCTTCATGTTAGAGAAAACTGAGTCACATAAATTTATATCTGTAAATGAGTTGGCTATGGATGGAATCATCTGGTAAGGTCTTTCCAGGTAAGGGCTTTGTGACCAGAGCAAGGGTGAGGGGAAAGACAGCTAAGATCTCCACGGCAGTAAGGTACATTGCTATGAGCTCATAGCCTTGATCTCATTTCCCAAAACCAATGTGACCAATGGAGTTGGTTAGCACTTTGAAAAGTCCTGAAGGAAATGCTCCCCATTATTTCTGCTCCCACATTTTCTTAAAATTGCACCCATATCGTTCATAGAGTAAGTCTATGCCTTACTGAGTGTCACTGTTTTGGTAGAAGAGATTTATTGAGAGATAATTCCTATACCATAAAACACACCCATTTGAAGCACATGATTCCATGAGTTTTAGCATATTTACAAAATTATACAAGCATCTCCCACTCTAAGTTTGAAGCATTTCCATCCCTTTAAAATGGTGCTGGAAATGTGCTCTCCATTCTCGCTCCCAGCCCTGGGCGACCACAAATCTACCTTCTGTTTCAGTAGATTTGCCTTTTCTGGCACCTTGCTCGTGTGTCGATGCCTTCCAGTAAGCCACACAGCTACCCTGTGTGGTGTTTAGAGCACCAAGCCTTGCTTCCCCTTCTCTTTTTTTTGACCTGGCAAATAGCGTCCACTCTACCCCAGTGTCTCTGAGGCTGCCCTTGCAGTCCCAGCCAGGTGAAATCTATTAGTTTGATGAGTTATTGCCACTCTTTTATCTCGAGTGAGTTAATGAAGAAAAAGAAGGTTGCTATGGGAGGATGGGGAACAAGTGGTTTCCCCATTCTTTGGACCTCTCTGCCCTGCCAGCCTCCCAGAAACACATCGCCCTCTACTGGTCCCCAATCCGGCCTGGCCTGAAGGGTTGTCTGTGAATTTAGTGCCAGCTGTCCTTCCAGTGTGCTTCACCCGAGCACGCTGCCAGTCCCACGCCAGTTATTTAAAGTTCAGATTACATGTCGTGGCCTTGCATGTGATCCCTTACAAATCGCTGCCTCTCATGTAGCTGCAACACACAGGCAGTGGGCTTGGCTTTGGCTCAGTAGGCTGCCTGTGAGATCAGGTACTTGTCTTAGTGAACAACCTGGAGAACGGAAGCAACGCCACTTCATTTCATGCCCTTCCTGAATTTCCAGCCAGTTCCAGAGGTCAGCAGCTTCTCGAGACATTTTATGCTGGGCATGTCTAGCTTCAAGCTTGGGGAGTTCTCACTGATTCTGCTGCTCTCACTTGGAATCACCCCTGCTTATATGCAGAAGTAGACTCAGCCACAGGAATTGTGTTCATGTCTCAGTTCTCTTATCCAGCTGCTACTTGATCTCTGCCCCCTTAGCTCCAGGGCTTGGATTGAATGATCCCCTTGCTGCCCCAGTAAGTAGTCCACGCAGTAGTCTGGTGAAGTGGCCTAAACAGTATGAAGACTTCGTCCACACATCTTCAGCATCTATGGAGCATGTGCTGGATACTGGGTTTCAGCATCTACTGTTGCCATCTTGCTTAACAGTGATTCCCACCTTTTTCCTTCTCCATCTGCAGGGTTGGCCGTCGGCCTGTGCTGCTGTTTTCTGTCATCTTCATTCTGATCTTCGGCCTGACCGTGGCGCTCTCAGTGAATGTGACAATGTTCAGCACACTCAGGTTCTTTGAAGGATTTTGCCTGGCTGGAATAATTCTCACCTTGTATGCAATACGTAAGTTGGAATCTTCATAACTATTTTATAAAAGTCAGCCAAATCATTCTTGCCTGGGAGGTTCTGCGAAAGATACTCTGCATGCTGATTGTTTGGGACAACAGTCTTTTGGAAGCATAAACTTTAGAGGTCCGGATGGTTGTGAAAGAAGATTTTTAGGCAACACCATCCAATGTTTATTTCATTTTTACCTCCAGCTTGGGCTCAGTGTGCGACAAAGGACGTGTTAGGTTGCATAATGGCTTGGAATTGTGGGGATCTGCCCAGAGCAGCTATGGAGTGGCTTTTGCTCCCTACCGAATTTTTCACATTGACAGTCTGTGCATGTCCAAATCCAATTGTAACTGAGTTTCCCATACTCAGTTCTGGAAGAGTATACCAAGTTCCTATTACTATGTGATCTGGCTGAGCTCTATTGACACCGTAAGATTTCTTCTTTTTCTTACAACCATACAGAGTCCAAATTTTCCACATTTCCGTGTGACCTAAGGGAGTCTAGAACTGAACTCTAAACATTAGTCCTAGATGAACAAATGCCAGGATTTATATTTTTAAAAAAGGTGAAGTACATTTTCTTCCATTGATCTGTCATGTTTATTGGCCATATTAGCTTGCTGTCAATGCTTATGTTTCACTTATTTGTAGTTGATTTTCTAGAAGACAACTGCATACCATAAAGAGGAGAGTTTCAGGCATGCATGTTTTAATTATTAGGTTTTTACTCTTCAGTTACCACATGGAAAGATCTTTGGGTACACTGTATGACAACTTATGATGTTTGGTCTTTCTCCCTTTGATAACATGGATAGAAATTGAGTATAGATTAGGTAACAATTTCTAACATTATAAAATAAGAATAGTTCTATTTCTCTTAAATTTTGACTTCTTTAGGTAACCTAAATTTTTGTTCCGCTGGAAGTATAACCAGTGCATGCCATGGATTTTTAGCCTCAAGGAAAGAAGGAGCATGAGAAGAAGTACATTCTTCTAAACCCATAGTTTGTAATTTTGTCTCTTATTCCAGCATTTAACTGAATTGCAGTTACTTTTGCAGTTTGTTTGTGTTTATCCCTTGTCCCTTGGAGAGTTCTTTTAAGACAAATGTGTGACAAGATTGGTTGTTTGAGATGATGGTGTTTTCAGCTTTGTTTCTTTGAAAAGAAAAACAACAATGACGACATAGGTGTTGGGCTTGAACACTTCCAGACACGACACCTGCGATGTTCTCTGTGGCTCTAACCCCGTCGGTCTGTGCAGTGGAGCAAGCACTCCACTCTGAGGAGACGAGAGTTCCCCAGTGGGGTTTTCTCTCCAGGCTGCCACCCTGCCAGCCTCCAGTTGTCCCAGGAAGATGACAGTCTGGTCCTTCCACAGGACCTGCCACTGGAGGGGACAGCTCTGCACATTGCTGAAAGAGAATATCTGTGCTTTAGGCACACAGTGGACAGTGCAGCTTCAGCATCGCCACCCCAGTCAACAGACGGCTCAGGGAAAATTGCCCGAGAGCAAAGATGCCATATTGGTTTTGTCTTGCACGCCAAGTGCTAATGATTGGTTGAAGCTGCCAGAGGCCTGGGAGACTTTTGAGGACACTTGGGGCTCAGCAGCAGAGAGCACCTGAGTCCATTCATCATGTCTGCCAGCGCTGAGGAGAGAGTTAGGGAGAGGGCTGCACGTGCTGGGTGACATTTGCCACCTGCATACACTGTCCCTGAATTAAGCCAGGCCAGGCGTGGAGCGAGCTTGTTTCAGCCTCACATTGAGATGTTGTACTCACTTGTGTGATCACATTGTCATAGCAGAGGCCATATGAAACCTATTGCTATAAAAAATGATGCTGAAGATGTTTTCTCATTAGATGACATAGTGTACTCTTCATAGTAGAAAGTCCTACTTCAGAGCTGCACAAGGAATGTGATTATCTGGACAGAGAATCCTATAGGCCAGGCATTTATACATTTTTTTTTCTGTGAATGGCCAGGTAGTAAATATTTTAGGCCCTGTAATCTCTATGGTAGCTATTCAACTGCCATTGTAGTATGAAGGCGCCACGAATAATATGGGAATGAATGGATGTGGCTGTTTCAATAAAACTTTATTTACAAAAGCAGATTTGTCCTGGGGGATAGAACTTTTCATCCACAGATATAAAGGGGCTCATGTGTGAGCCTGACAACACAAGCTTTAAATTCTGAACTCCCTTCCTGGTTCCACCTTAACTTCCTTACTTTATTTTTTATCCCAGTTTTCTATCTCCATCATATGTATTATTTTATTGTATGTATTTGTGTAAGCAGCTTTAATTTTTTCTGCAGTAAAATGAGATACTAGAAAGGTCACATTTTCTTAAATTTGGTGTTATGGTTTGTGTCTACATGTCCCCCCAAAGCCTCATGCAGTCACAGGTGGGGCGTTTGCAGAGGTGGCTGGATCTAGAATGTGTGACGCTAGAATTGATTCATGTTGCTAGTGCTAGGATCCAGGGCACTAGGATTAAGGGTGTGAGTGCTACCCACCCTACATAGCCTGGATAAGACATAAGGGACAGAAAGAGCTGTGGTTGACCTTTGCTTGCTTTGCTACCTTCTGCCGGCCATGAACTGTTTCTCCTCCACAATGCCCCTCTGCCCTGCCACCCTGCCTTGGAGCCAGCCAATCATGGACTGAAACCTCTACACACTGTGAGCTAAATAAACCTTTCCTCCCTAACTTGTGGGTGTTGGGTATTTTGTCTCAGCAATGAGAAAAGTAACTAAAACATTCAGACTAGCTTCAAACATTGTGTCAAATGCCATTGCAATGACACTGTCCAAGAATCAACGAGTGACTCACTGTCGGAGCTAATAAAGTTCCTAGGATAGCACCATTAAAATAAAGCAAAAGAATATGGAAGATGTCTTGGATTTCATCAAGATGATATTTAAACAATGAAACTTAAGCTGAGTTGATAGAAAGATGGCAGAGGAGCCATGTTTGGCAAGGGAGAATCAAAAAGAAGAACCAAAGTCACAATGGAAAGGCAGGACAATATGGGTGGGCTGGGGTGGGGCAGCTGAGACAGTCTTGGAAGACGACAGAGGTGATGACAGGAGAGATGTTCTGGTCAACAGGGCAGGCAACTACACATTTCCAGTCAGTGTGCTTGCTGTCATTTTATATACAAGTAGTGTATACGTTTAGGTGAAACTTGGGAATTTTTTTTGCTTAAAGAAAATTACTGATAAGCTAGATCACAGGGGTGAAGTCATTTTTAAGTCTAAAGAACACTTTAAAACTCTGGACCTTGATTCTTTGGAAGTTATATTTTTAATGGTCCACAATTTTTCTCCTCCTTTGACCAGAAGGTTTTTTGTTTTCAATCTCCCTTAATCCCCTTTCTGGAAAGGCCTGGCCTTTCTCTGAACAGGTCTGGACATCATTGTTGTTTTAATCCTGGAGGTGCTTGGCTATAGAAGCAGGAAAGTAATGATTTTTGCTATTTTGATTTCTCATGTAGCTTACCACGAGAGTGGACTCTTCATTTCGAGAACTGCTGCTGACTTGTGAAAGTTTTCTGCTATATTTGCAAGTCTAACTAAGGTCTTTATTTTTTTCCTGCTTTAAATTTTTTCTTTGGTACATTGTGGTTAAATATTCAACCCTTTAAACTTTTGTTTTCTTCAGCTTGTCAAAGAGAGAAGTGCTTGTGTAATTAGGGCATAAATTAGAGATTATTGGCATCTTCCCAAGGAGTCTCTGCATAGAAGCAGTGTACGCTGGCAAGAGCAAGAGAGAACAGGCCAAGCTGAGTGAGTTTAAGTCGGGCCACAAGTGCGGTTCCTCTGCCTGCCTCTGAGACACTGAAATAATTCAATACACATGGGTTTCATCAGTGGCTTCATTTTACCTTTACCTCTGGACAACACACACACACACACACAGCAGAATACTTGATTTAACCAGCCAGGGGCACAGACCAAGAAAAAGAACCAATAGGTCACACTTCCCTGTTTGTTTATGAAAGCAGGGCCGGGATTTTGCTCAGTGGTTCAGCTGCCTACCTCACAAATGCAAGGACCAGAGTTCCATCCCTGGTACCAAAAGAAAAAAAAAAAGTTTAGGAAAGCAAAGTCATATCACAGACTAAAGAAATCGTCACTTCCCAGTGTCAGCAGACGTGGCCCATCATGGAATGAATCCCTTCCCCACACCAGGATTTCTCATATCTCAGGCAAGAGAATACAGCACCGTTAGGACGTATCTTTCTCCCAAAGAAGCCTCTGGCCTAGTGGCCCACACTTTCCCAATTTGCAACAATGAATGATACCTTCTGCTGGCAGAGAAACCTTACTTTAGTTAGTGTGGCCAAATGGACAGAATTTTCTTTTCTTTATTTCTTTTCTTTTATGTTTTTCTTAACAACAGACAATTTCTTTTGAAAAATTCTCTCAAAGATGTTCTTATTTTAATAACTCTACTTAAACCTAGGCAGCCCACATAATTGGATGAATTTTACACGTAATCAAGGAGTGACCTGAAATTTCACAGGTGACTGAGTTACTGATTACACTGCAAGATTAGAAGCCAGGGCTTGGCTTCGCTGGTAAATAGGAAGGCTGTGTTATGCTGTGCTGTGGGTGGTGTGCGGCTCTTTCTCACACGGTGTTAATGGTTTTCATTCTCTGGGAAGTGGTTGAATAATTGCTAATGTGCTGATGTCGGACAACCTCTTTTCCCCTTACTATCCTGTATATTGTCAGGCTCCTTTGTTTTCCTTAAGTCTGATAATTTGTGTTGTTTTACTGTCTGTATCCGTGTGAGCTGCTAAAGTCTTGGTATATATTTCAGTCGTTAAGTGGCACCGCTATGCTGTAATTTTCTTTAAAAGTATGGAGGGACCCAAATGGCTGCATGCAGTGAGGTGTCCACGTGTGGAATGATGGCAGTGGAAACGGAGCTGCGGAATGAAGGGAATGGAGATGGTCCTGTCAAGTAGCAGTGGCCTCAGCTACCTTGCGATT